AAGAAGCAGAAGATTTTTTTAATTTATAAAAGGCCAGAAACACCAACTTGAAGCATTCCACAAGCATCTTTTATATTATAAAAATATACTAATGAGCATGATATATATATTACTGGCGCAGTAATGTGGCACAGTAAATTTCAAAGACCAGGAACACCAACTTGAACTATTCTACGAACATCTTTCATATTATAAAATTTTTAATTCGTAAGCATCTACTGGGGTGGTAATTCTGTATCAAAATAAATGATTTGAAGCTCTTTTCTAACAAAAGATCGTTTTGGTCCATTGCCTTCATCATCTTCTAGCCAATACAAGATTGGCTGATTTTTTTGCACCAAAGCTTCACGAATATGATAAACTTGGGGAGACCAGTTCATATTAGTTGCTCGCTTAAAACCACCTTCCAGCTCTCCTAGCTCAAGTAAATATCTAACCAAAGTATTATAATCCAATTTAGATTCATTAAATCCTATAGGAGCATTGTGTAATTTAGAAGATGCTGAAATAATCTGTTTCATTTTTATAGCTTTAGTAGGGGGCATACCAATTAATCTAGTTACCGAATTATTAAGATTATTAATAATTATATAAAGATTTTTAACCCAAGCTCTTGATCTCTTAGATATAGGCAACAATAAATCAGAGGCATCTTGTAATCGAAACAATTTTTCAGCTAAAGTACGATTAAATCTTTCAACAATACCTTGGCTTCTATGAGACATGCCAACCTTAATTTTAACATTATATTTTTCCATTAATTCTTTACAATCAGATTTAAATTCAGATCCGGGATCAACCATTAATAATTTAGGCCAAATAAGAGGATACTTAGAATTATTATAAACTTTTTTAAAAGCTTTAGCCACATTACTAGATGTCTTATCTGTTAAAGGAACTACCCACTTATATCTGGAAGCAATGTCAACTATACATAAACAATATTTATATACTTTGTTATTAATCGTATCATGAGGCATATAAAGAATATCAGCTTGATGACATTCATTAGGAATCTGTATACTATTAAATGAGGCTCTAGGAATAAACCTTGGTCAGGGTTTATGAATCTGATATAAAGCCTGTTTTTCAAGCCAATTACATACTTCATCAATAGAAAAATCATACCCAGCTTTTAGAGATGCTTTATACAATTTTTTTACAGTTCTTTGATAGCCATTATGTTGATAATAAATCTTACGCAAAGCAATAGATATATCTAGTTCACGAACATTTCTGGAATCTATTTGTATTATAGGAATAGACAACATTTTTGAGCCGGCCCAGTCCCTTGATTTATAATCTGCGAGACTAAATATATTTAAAAAAAACCGATAACTATCTTTTTCTTTTTTTCGAATTTATGAGAAAAAAAAGAAAAATGGGGGAAAGAATCGAGCAATTTAAAGGTGCCTTATTAGCTATACAAGATCGGGTCTATAAATTACAACAGGATCTTGTCTCAAAAGAGGATTATATTAATTATCTTGAAAAAGAAATCTCAATTCGGAATAAGAAGCTAGACCCATTGCAGTTAGAAATTTTCTATCTTAAAGAAAAGTTAGAAAAGGTGATTGAAGACTCTAAAAATCAAGAAATTTATATCAGTTATATAGAGAAGCAGTTAGTAATTTTTCAGGACGAAATAGATATGCTTAATAAAAAAATACTTGTTTTGTATAAAAACTCCAATAATACTATAGAAATGGCCCAACAACCAGGACCTCTCCGAACATTATCTCTTCCTGAAAATCAAGCCAATATCCAGAATCATAGAATTCAACGAGAAATCCATAATATTGAATTATATTTTCGAAGCCCAACTACAATAACACCTACAATAAATGGCATTGTAGATTATCTTAATATAATTTCTGAGGCTTGAAAGATTGGTGCTAGAAATATATTCACAAGCAAATGCTCGAGCATTTAATGCTGAAAATCGAGTAGTAGATTTGCAGACTCAGTTAATAAATTTGCAAACCCAATTAGCTGATTCGCAAACCCAGTTTGCCGATTCGCAAACTCAGTTAGCCACACTTCAAAATGACTATAATCTTCTTCACCAGGCTTATGAGACCCACAGAACTCAACATAATATATTTAAATCTCGAGAACTTGATTGTCGAATTACAATCCGCACACAAAAAAGACAGATATCAGAATTGCTTCTAGAAAACTTTGCATTAAGATTTAAGAATAGACAAACCTATCAACAACTACAGGATTGTAATACAGATGGAGCAATTACTATGCATCTCTTAAATCTTACAACGAATCGATACAACAAGTGGAAAAATAGATGCAGAACTATACAAAATAAGTGGGACAAATGGAAAACACAGGCCCGAAATTCAGAACAATTAATTAATAATTTAAATTAACAAATTTTTACATTACAGAATAACCCACCAAATATACAACGAATAGGAATGGCAGGATATCCACCTCCAAATTTTAATAGCTATCCCGATGAGGATCCAGAAGAATTTATTAATTCTTTTCATTCATATTTTGTGGCTGTAAGAATTAATATATTAGCTGGACATGCTCACAGAATTCGAGCACATGGTCTTTTTGAAACATGTCTCAAAGGTGATGCTAAAGATTGGTATGAAAGATCTCTTTGAAGAAAGAATTGCGAATTAAGAAATTTATTAGATAATACTGGCCAAGCCAATTTGGGTGTGACTCAGAGACGAATGGCGGCATAACTTGAAGCGAATTTAAGACACGGTGCCATAGGCCAGGCTGGAAATATTGTTATTCTAGCTCATACAGTATTTGATGAAGACTGGTCTTTTGCCAATTGGCGCCCAACCGATCGCATTGAAAATCTACCCAATGCCAATGGTGGACAATCTATAGTAGCAGATAGAATTCGACTTGGGCAAGCAATATACTGGCTTAAAACTAACTATCCTACAGTTGCTGCAGAAAAACAACGAATGCTCTTTGGTTCAATGGTCCAAGGCAGTGATTCTGTAGGTCGATTCTATTCTAAGTTACATAAACTTGCTAGGTTAGCTGGTATTGATGAACAACAAATTCGATTACAATTTATTTGTGGCATTTTTCCTGATAATCAGTTAGAAATTCGACGCATTGGAATTAACAGGCCTGTATCTGAATTGCTCACAGAACTTGAAGAAATTGAGAGATATAAGACAGAGCAATTATCTGGAGCTTATTTATATCCAGGTCCAGCATTATCAGATAAATCTCATAAAAAAGACAATTATTCAAGCAATATGGGTATGACCAAAACTGAAATCGAAAACTTGGTAAAATCTATGATGCCATCTATACAATCTCAACCGATTTCTTCACAACTAACACAACCTATTTCTTCTCAACTACCTAAATCCTATAGCCCACAACTCCCAGGAACCTCTCAAATTATACAAAATACAAATAAGGGTAAATTTTTACAATGGCTTCTTGGGGAGATATCAGAATTTGTTCCTGTTCCCAAGCCCGATTTACCTCCAAAACTGGTAATAAAAAATGTTGAAGTTACAGATAGTGATCCTATAGAGGATATGCGTAAGCAATTAGAAGATTTTCATATCAATCTGACTAAAATGACTAAAGCTATAAAAAAGAATTCTAGCAAGCCCAAATCTTCTCGTCGCAAAACCAAATCAAAATCTAGAACCAAAAAAAAGAAATCATCCAAGCATGTTAATGCTTATATAATTTCAGATGAATCATCTTCAAACTCTAGTGATAGCGAAAATAGTATGACATATAGTGAAAATGAACTTGAAACCAATACCTTGGTATGTTCATGGAATGAATCAGAATCTGATTCCTCTGGGACCAGTGAGTCTAGTAATTCAGAAAGCGATTCAGAAGAATACGAAGTTAATGCTATAAAAAAAAAAATAACTTATTCTGATACCAAGAGATCAAAGAAGCGCAAAAGTGCTAGGCCAAAAACTTCTAGCAAAAAATCTAGTAACGCCTCTTCTAATAAAAAGAGCAGTAAGGATGCTAGACCACTTAAAATTCCTACAGATAATATTAGCCTAAATGCATTTTTTGCTATTTTACGATCAATGGTTGATTCATTTACCCGTACACAACCTAAAGAAGTTTCTATTAATGGATATAATATGATTAATACCGAATTCATTACACTAAAAGATCCTGTTCTAAATCATTTTACTTCGAATTTCTCAAACAAGAAACGAGAAAAGTTCTGGCATGAAATTACTATGGTATTCTCTCATATCTTGCAACCAATATCAGATCTAATTCGAATAGCTTCTCAGCAAACAAATATACCACCCCAAACAGCCCCAGAGGGATCACAATTAGAGGCAGAAATTTCATGGCCCAACCCTATAGAAATTAATTTTATTCATAAAATTATTCCCAATGATGTTGCTACTATATATTGCAAGATTAGCTCGCCATTAGAAAAAATTGTACAAGTGCCTTCCGCCATGATAGATAGTAGGGCAAATTGCTCAGTTATTTCAAAAGGCCTTATAAAACTATTGAGAGCAGAAGTAGATAAAAATAAAAAACCATCCGTTAAATGGCGTAATAATTCTTTAGAGTCTTCAGGCATATCTTATAATATTTCAGTTACGGTTGGTTAGGGAGAAAATAGTTGTACAATCTCTGAAGACTTTCCAGTCATGGATGATGATAAACCCTGGATATTATTAGGCACATCTTGGCTTGATTGAGCTGGATGAGAACCTATTGTCAAGCGTGAATTCAAGTTAATGCATAAAGGTAAGGTAATTACTGTACTTCTTTCAGTTCATAAGTCCCCCTTTTTTCTCATAAATTCGAAAAGAAAAAATTTGGTTAACGTATCAATTCTGCCTGAGCCGGCCTCAACTTGTGTCGGGGAAGGTGGGTCAGAAAAAAAACATATGAGTTATAAAGAACTTGAAAAAATGTTATTTGATACTCTTAATACTAAAGAGGTTCTCAATAAGATATGTGAGAAGTTTTTATCATTCTATGATGAGCTAGATCTTTTACTTAGCTAGTATATGCAGATATTTGGCTATATTTTTTTTATCACGAATAGCTTCTTTTTCATAAAATGCATTTAAATCTTTACCTTCTTGTAATAAATCATGAGCCGGCTCAGGCAGAATTAGTTTGCTAGCCAAATTTTCTTTATCTTCTCGTGATAAATCACTCGAAGACAAAATTAGTTCGTTAACTAAATTTTCTTTTTTCAAATCCCTGCCTTCTCGTGATAAATTACTTGAAGCCAGATATATCGGTAATCTGGATTGGCAATCCAGATTTATTTTTTCGAGCTTGCGAGAAAAAATCAGTTGATCCCAGGCAACCCTATTTTTTTCTTCATCTCTCCAAATCTGATAAATACGTTTTTGTGATATGCTATATTTTTTTTTTAGCTCATTCAAAACTTTAGACCTTGGTCTATCATTATAGCATTGTATAATAAAATCATAATCAGCTAGTGATAAAGAAGGAGCATCACATCTTATGCGTTGCCTAAGCATGATAGTATTTTTTTTCTATCTAATATATTATTTCAAAATAATTTATTAAATAGAATGCATATATTATATCGGATATATTAGATATATCGGATATACCAAATATATTGGATATACAGGAAAAAATTTTTAGAAAAAACTAGATAAATAGGATATATATATTATACTAGATATTTTGGATATACCAAATATACCAATTATACAGGAAAAAAATTTTGGACGAACTGGATAAATAAAATATATAGGAGGTTCCAAATAAATACTTCATATATTTTTAAAGTCTATATAGTTAATATTTTCAGAGATTATAACAAATCTTGATTTTATTTTTTATTCTATCCGTTAATTCTATCCAAGTTTTTAAAGTTATGGGATTTGGTTTAGATTCTTCATCTTCTGAGGATGGCACATGCAATGAAGTGGTCATAAAGCTATCTGTTGAGAAAACCGTTAACTTTTCTAGATCTTGCTGTATGGAAGCTCTTTCTGCTAAATCTAATTCAAAGACATTTTTCGTGTGGTTATGATAATAATTTTCCATATCTTTTTAAATTCATAGAAAAAAGCTCTTCTTTATTCTTTAAGCATGAATCTAATTCTTGAACTTCAGCACCTTTTTTAATAACTTTGGAAGGCATTCTTATGAATATTTAAAGCAAGGATTTTAAAATACAAAATATTTTGAGGTGTTAGATTAATATATATATCTATTTGAGCTGATTCATTTGCGAAAAAAAAAATGGGCTTATTTATATAGTTTATTCTTTTTAACTAACCCTTTTTATATAAAAACAGTTTCGGATTTGCCAATCTATTATAAATTATTTAGTATAAGCCAAAAATAAATTGATCTACTATCAATCATACTTTTTTCTAGCATTTTCTCGCAAGCTCGAGGTGAGACACCATGTCACTAGGGCACAATATGTGGTGCAGTAGCTATATTGAGTAGAGTTTGGATACACATATCCAGGCTTAACTTAATTGTGCAGAAGAAAAGACTCAGTAGTCACATAATAGTGTGACACTTTTTTCTTGCAAGCTTGAAAAAAAATATATTGATAACAAATATATTTTAACTATTTATATTTGGCTTTGAGCAAGCATTGCGAAAAGACAATAGGAATGTTTCAAGTTGATATATAGTCTGCTATATATATACAGTATCACTAGTCTAGTTTATGGTGATGAGCTAGCTATATGAGACGTATATTTGTTTTGATACTTTTCTGGGAGCTTGGTTCTTATAGCTCTTTTTTCGGCCTCTTCTTGGGGTATACCAGCCTTGACCATATTCTTATAAGCTTTATTACGCTAATGAAAATATGGCAAAGAGGTGATCTCATCTAATAAGATCCAGCGCTTAGTATCTATGAGGCATAGAGCTTTCTTTTCTGATTCAACCAAAGATAATACATGATCCTTTGACCGGATACCCACATTCTTAACATAGAATACTTCTTTATCAAAGAGACAGTCCTGATATACTAGGTCATAGGATCTGCCTTAGTTCGCATAGCCAAATTATTGGCTTCTTGCTCCGTTAATAATGACCTATCCATCGGATCATCTAGCAAGGACCCTTCTAAAGCTGGCATATATGAGTTCATGGCCATTTCATTTATACCTTTTTTGCTAACC